CTACTTGGGAGGCTGAGGCATGAGAATTGCTTGAACCCGGGAGGCGGAGGTTGCCATGAACCGAGATCACGCTACTGCACTCCAGCCTGACGACAGAGCAAGACTCAATCTCAAAAAACGAAATAAATACATAAATGAAAATAAATATAATGAAATGTCCAGTTCCTTTGTTGCACCATCTGTTTTTCAAGCGCTCTGCTGCCCTGTGTGCCTGTGGCTGATGGACTGGGCAGGGGGGCATTTCCATCTGCGCTGGGATGCAAGCATCCCTGACACACATGCTTGATCCGTGCTCCCTGCTGGTTCAGGAGGCTGCGAGGCCAGGAGGCCCAGAACACACAGCCATTCCCTGCTCCCAGCTACGGCCCACGGAGCAGCACCCATACTTCTGCACGCTGCTTCCTGCAGCTGCACTCCCAAAACTCCTGACTGGAATCGGTCTGGATGAAACGTGGTCACTTGTCTAGCAGAAGGAGCGCTATTGGCTGGGCGCAGTGGCTCACGCCTGTAATCCCAGCACTTTGGGACGCCAAGGCGGGTGGATCACGAGGTCAGGAGTTCAAGACCAACCTGGCCAAGATGGTGAAACCCTGTCTCTACTAAAAACTACAAAAATTAGCCAGGCATGGTGGTACGTGCCTGTAATCCCAGCTACTCAGGAGGCTGAGGCAGGAGAATCTCTTGAACCCGGGCGGCAGAGGTTGCAGTGGGCTGATTTCGCACCACTGATTTCGTACTCCAGCCTGGATGACAGAGTGAGACTCCCTCTCAAACAAAACAAAACAAAAAGGAGCGCATCCACAGAGGCTGGATGCAGGTGACCGTTGTGGTCCCCACCACCCCTCGCAACGCTTTTGTAGTCCTCACAGGATGTTAAAATAACAGTGCGCAGAAGGCCACGGGGTTTCCTACTGGGAAAGTGCACTGATGTGGAGGCCGGGAACGGGGTTTCTAATCTGCCGTGGGCCCCGGAGAGCGGCTGTCATTTTTCTGTGCCTCCCTTTCTCCGTTTCCCGAGGCCCCGTAATCCCTCTACCTCCTGGGAGATCCCACACAGGAAGCACCATGAGGGTGCGAAGGGCAGGCAGGTACAAAAGACAGGAGGGGGCCACGGGCTGGTGGCGCCACTCCCCTCACAGCCCAGCGTGGGGGCTCGTCCTGCCTCTCTGGCTGCTGCCAGACCCCAGCTCTTGAGTCCCCCCAGGGAACCACAATGCCTGGGCCTTGTGTTTCTGCTGAAGCTCATGCCTTAGAGCTTGGCTCCAATGCTTTCCTCCTAGAAGCCTCCCCTGATATGTCCCAGGAAGCCTGGCCTCTCCCCTTGTCCTAGCCCCAGGCATCATGTGCTCCCTGGACTCCACCCCTGCGTGGGTCTCATTCCTGTTTACGTCTCAAAGGCCTGGCACTAGCCGCCCCCTAGATGCCGGCTGGATGAGTGCTGATGGGATGGTCTCATCTCTGTCCACAAAACTCCTCCCCTACAGCCGAACCCTCCCTGCCATGTGACTGTTGACAGAAGTCTGCTGTCCAGGGAATATCAGCTGCTGTCAGTGATAAGCATGACCTCCTTGTGGGCGTCAACTCCACCCCTGTGCTGGACAGGCCTTTTCGTTGATTTCAGTGATCATTAAGTTAATCAGCAATCATGACACACACAGAATCAATGACAACTGAAATTATTAGAATCCACAGAAGGAGGGCATTCTCATTAGCTATTTGGGGCTTTCAAATGTTCTTAGATGAAACCAGAAATGAAAGGCTGCTAAAATCAAAGACTGAAAAGCCTTCTAGCTTTTGAGACAGAAAGGGGGCACCTAAAGATGATGGCGTGTGAGTGTGTGTACGTGTATTGAGGACCTGAAAACGACGGGGGGTGTGTGTGTGTGCGCGTGCATGCGTGCATGTGTGTGTGTCTGTGTGGTGGAGGTGGGAGGGAGGGTGGTCTGTGGGGGAGTGAGCTTTGGCGGGTGCAGCCTGTGGAGGCAGCCGGGGACAGGATGACTGGAAATCTCTCCTGTGGAGGGGACAGGCTGAAAGCTGTGGGTACGAGCTGAGAACAGGATCTCAGGTGGGAAGGGCGGCGTGGTGTCCACCTGGGCCAACTGTGCCGTGGAGGCTACAGAGCACCAGGTTGCCCCCCGCAGGCAGCCCCAGCCCAGCCCAGCCCAGCCCTCCGGGTCAGGGCCCTCGGAGACAATGGTGTGTGTGCTCTGCCCGAGGAAGTAGGAAGCCTCAGATCGTTAGCAGCTGCCTGACACTGACAGAATGTCATGATTCAGCCAATGAAGAGGTTTAAAAATGAAGGCAGGTCACTTTTACACTCCCCAGTGCTAAGTAAGGAAGAATCTGTCATTATTGAGTACACTGATACTTAAAACCAGCCTTCTTCAATTCATCCAGTTCCCTGTAGTAAGAACGGCGGTGACAATGCTTTCTTCACCAAGCTTCACCCACATGGTAAATACGCTGACAGTGGCGCGTTTTTGTTTCATAACACCAGAGACTATCCTGTGTTGGCTAAAGTGTTGGTGTTCTCACTTATAATTCCAGACTGATTTTTTTTTTTTTTTTTTTTTTGAGACGGAGTCTCCCTGTCACCAGATTGGAGTGCAGTGGAACGATCTCAGCTCGCTGCAACCTCCGCCTCCCAGGTTCAAGTGATTCTCCTGCCTCAGCCTCTCAAGTAGCTGGGATTACAGGCATGTGCCATGATGCCTGGCTAATTTTTTGTATTTTTCAGTAGAGACAAGGTTTCTCCATGTTGGTCAGGCTGGTCTCGAACTCCTGACCTCAGATGATCCAAAGTGCTGGGATTACAAGTGTGAGCCACTGTGCCCGGCCCAGAACTAACGAATTTTTTTGGGCAAGATTCTTTTACCTTAAAAGGCATTATCCAACCTTAATAAAGCAGCAGGCTAGGCGAGCATCAACAGCTATGAACATCACAGAAAGAGACAAACACATGTACCCATGTGCCTCCTTGCCATTGAAATGCTCCAGCAAAACCGAACAGGCAAACAAGCAAAGCAGCAACAGACTCTGAGCAGGGCCTGAGGCCTTACTACCAATTTACAGAAATACAGGAGACACGGGGGAGTGCAGCAAGGACGCCATCAGCAAAACCCACATGGGGGACACCTACCAGGACAAACGACCAGTTCTTTTACAAACAGATAGCAAAGAAAGAGAGACAGAAGGGGAGATGGGCAGATAGAGAAGGCCTCACGAGACCATCCACCAATTACAATGTGTGGAGCTGATCTGGATCCAGATTCAAACAACTACAGTGTCAACAATTTTCATTTTATGTTTTCGGAGACAGGGTCTCTGTCACCAGGCTGGAGTGCAGTGGTATGATCACGGTTCACAGCAGCCTTGACCTTCTGGGTTCAAGCGATTCTCCCAACACAACCTCCCGAACAGATGAGACTACAGGCATGTGCCGTAACACCTGGCTAACTTTTGTATTTTTTGTAGATAAGGGGTTTTGCTATATTGCCCAGGCTGGTCTAAAACTCCTGGGCTCAAGCAATCCTCCTGCCTTGGCCTCCCAAAGTGTTGGAATTACAGATGTGAGCCGTTGCACCTGTCCTCAAAGACATTTTGAATACAGTTTCAAAAGCTAGCATTCCTAAACCAAAGCATGCCACTGTAGCCTACACTGAGGCAGGTCTATGTTCCCAGATGCCTCAAGGCTCACGCGGAGTCACACGAAGGTCTGGGGCACATTTTAGAAGTGCATCCACTTCCTATAATTGAGAGACTCTGCCTGGGCACCACTCACAGCCGAACAAAGGCCCCACACACAAGGTATAGAACCCTGGCTCCTTCAGCCAAAGACAGCTCCTGGAGCGAGGGGTGCAGACACCACTGCCCAGCCTCCTTCCCTTCTCCCACGGGTCTCATGCCAGGGCGCACCAACCTCAGCCAACCCAACCTGGGAGTGATGTCCAGCCGCATTCCTCCCCTCCCCACCATCACCTCACCTTGTATTATTCTCTGCATGGCTTTTTTTTTTCTTTTTGAGATGAAGTCTCGCTCTTGTCCCCAAGGCTGGAGTGCAATGGTGTGATCTCGGCTCACTGCAACCTCTGCCTCCTGGGTTCAAGCCATTCTCTTGCCTCAGCCTCCCGAGGAGCTGGGATTACAGGTGCCCACCACCACACCCAGCTAATTTTCGCATTTTTAGTAGAGATGGTGTTTCACTGCGTTGGCCAGGCTGGTCTTGAACTCATGACCTCAGGTGATTCGCCTGCCTCAGCCTCCCAAAGTGCTGGGATTACAGGCGTGAGCCACCACACTCGGCCCTCTGCATGGCTTTTATCTCGATGTTTTTGTTTATTTTTTATTGTCTGCTTCCTATCACTAGAACGAAGTTCCCAAGAGGCAGGGTCTTGCCTTGTTCACTGCTATCTGGAGAGCCTGCACCTGGGCCTGGTGTCCAGCAGACATGCACAGTTGCGGGAATGGATGAATTGGTTCTGGGAGCCCAGGCGGTACGATAGGCCCCCAGAGGCATTTTAAGGTTATCTTTCAGGGTTATCTTTAACCTTAAGACCCCAGACTACAGGGTTTAGGGTTAAAGATAACATACGGAGTGCCTGGGAGTACACTTTCTAAAGAAAGATGAAGTTAGCACTTTTAAACTAAGCCTCCCTTCAGAACATATGAAAATGGAAGCAAATGATGATTAAGTGGCTAAAAAAACTGCAGCCAGGCAGGAGAGATAAGAAATCTATTAGAATCTAGCAAGCTGGGGTCTACTGTGTGTAAACTGCCACTGACAAGATAGAGGGCTGGAGTCAAGAAGTTTAAAGGCTGCATGACAAGGAAGGGAATCTAGAGAATCAAAGGTGACAAGACTCCTCCTCCTCCTCCCCAGCGACTGTCCTCCCACTGGGGTCAGAGTAGAGCAAGGTTATCACGGTGGGAACAGCGCCCCGTGCCTCCCAGTGGCAGCGAGTCCGGTACACAGGACACCCCCGTGCAGCTTCACTCACAGGATCCACGGTCTCTGGCTTGGACGCCGGCGACTTGAAGGTGGATGTAGTTCTGGCCTGGTCTGCCCTCTTGTCGGCAGCTGCCCCCATGGACAAGCATTCCAGGTAGTCGGGTGGGGGGATGACAACACTGCTGCTCTCAGACAAGTTCACGGTGCTGATGCTTCTCACCGGCGCGGGGCTCAAACCCAAAAAGGACAGAGCACACACATAAGACAAGGTCTCACCGTGCAAACTCCAAACATCCTCTGTGCCCCTGACCAAGGATGATAGTAATGAGCGATCACAAATCAAAAACGGAACTCAAGTCTCACACCCACCTCCACACACAGTACATATGTCAATACAAAACACTCTAAGTTTTTTTGTTTTGTTTTGTTTTTTTGCAACAGAGTCTCACTCTGTCACCCAGGCTGGAGTGCAATGGCGTGATCTTGGCTCACTGCAACCTCTGCCTCCTGGGTTCAAGCAATTATCCTACTTCAGCCTCCCAAGTAGCTGGGATCACATGCGTGTGCCACCACCCCGGCTAATTTTTGTATTTTTAGTGGAGATGGGGTTTCTCTATGTTGGCCAGACTGGTCTCAAACTCCTGACCTTGTGATCCACCCCCTCGGCCTCCCAAAGTGCTGGGATTAGAGGTGTGAGCCACCACACTTGGCTTCATTTTCTTTTTCTTTTTTTTTTTTCTTTTTGAGATGAAGTCTCACTCTGCCGCCCAGGCTGGAGTGTAGTGGCACGATATTGACTCACTGCAACTTCTGCCTCCCAGGTTCAGGCAATTCTCCTGCCTCAGCCTCCTGAGTAGCTGGGATTACAGGTGTGTGCCACCACGCCCAGCTAATTATTGTATTTTTAGTAGAGACGAGGTTTCGCTGTGTTGGTCAGGCTGGTCTCGAACTCCTGACCTCATGATCCACCGGCCTCTGCCTCCCAAAGTGCTGGGAGTACAAGCGTGAGCCACCGCGCCTGGCCTGGCCTCATTTTTTAAAGTGGGGGCCCACCCTCATGGGGATGCTGGGAGAATTAAATGAGAGAATCAACGCAGTAACTACTGTTATTATCTGGCCTGGAATACGGATTTGGGGGTTTTCAGCAAGCAGGTGCTCGGCGAAGGTCATCAGGGTACTTCAGGCCACGGGAGTGGACGAGATGGCCCAGCACAGGCAGGAAGGATGGACCCAGGGTGACCCCCAAAAACACTGATGGGCAGAAGAGGATGTAAAGAGCTGGTGAGGCAGATAACAAACAGAGCACAGGTCAAGCAGCCAGGGTCAGAGAACATTCCAGAAAAAGCACACAACAGTGCTAAGGGCTGCTACGTAAGATAAGGATGGAAAACATACGCCTGGATTTAGCGACCAGGAGGTGCAGGGGACAGGGAAGGAGTTTCAGGGGGCTGCAGAAGTGGGGAGAGGAGGTGGCCTGGGCTGTAACAGCAGACAGTCAGCAAAGCTCAGGGACAACAGAAATCACGGCAGACAGCACCGTGAACTGCAGTCTCTTCTCTCACTGATCCGCGAGAGCCGAGGCTGAGGGCAGGGCCTGCGACAGAGCTAGAGCTAGGTGGTGATGAGTTATGGAGACATCAGGCAGGGGTTTCTGTCGCTGAGAGAGCTTAGCCACACTCAGGGCTACCTTGGTGTGGGCACAGTCATTGCTTCCGTCTCACTTTCTTCTAGCAACTTCGTGTATGACGACGGGAACCAGCCCCTCCTACAGGCAAAGAGGGAGAAAAGACCCTATCAGTGGTAGGCAAGTGGGCAGGGCAATCACCCTGAACAGCCTGATGAAAGCTCAGGGCAGACTGCACCATAAAGGCCCACGTGTGGAGTGAATGAAATTAAGGCTTTGAATAGATAAATATGGACTTTCAGACATACTGAACAATGTGCATTGTTAAGTTTTTCTTGGACAGGCGTGGTGGCTCATGCCTGTAATTCCAGCACTTTGGGAGACCAAGGCAGGCAGATCATGAGGCCAGGAGTTCAAGACCAGCCTGGCCAACATGGTGAAACCCTGTCTCTACTAAAAATACAAAAATTAGCTGGGCGTGGTAGCAGGCGCCTGTAATCCCAGCTGCTCAGGAGTCTGGGGCAGAAGAATTGCTTGAATCCAGGAGGTGGAGGGTGCAGTGAGCTGAGATTGTGCCATTGCACTCCAGCCTGGGCAACAGAGCGAGATTCAGTCTCAAAAACAAACAAAAGTTTTCCTTTTTTTTTTTTTAAAAAAAAAAAGAATACAGACAGGCTCTTGCTCTGTTGCCCAGGCTGGAGTGAGTGGGGCGATCGTAGCTCACTGTGGCCTCAAACTCCCGGGCTCGAGCAATCCTCCCACCTCAGCATCCGAGTAGCTGGGACCAGAGGCGTGTACCACCATGCCTGGCTAAAAAGGAATAATATGTTGTATGTATAACATTAATTTGATTTGGATTACCCTTTTATTTATTGTTCATATGGTTTTATTTAATACATCTGAACAATCTATCTAGAAAACTGACAAGCTAGTTACAGTAAGACTTGTGCACATACTTATGGCTGAAATTGAGGATGGCATTCAAACTACCTATGTGCTAAACCTTAGCAAAGTATATCTGATATGCAGATCCTCAAGAAATCAAACGTTTATTATTATTATTATTATTATTATTATTATTTTCTTTTTGAGATGGAGTCTTGCTGTTACCCAAGGTTGGAGTGCAGTGGCGCCATCTCGGCTCACTGCAACCCCTACCTCCCAGGTTCAATCCCAGATTCTCCTGCCTCACCTTCCCGAGTAGCTAGGATTACAGGTGCCCACCACCACACCTGGCTACTTTTTGTATTTTTAGTAGAGATGAGGTTTCACCATGTTGACCAGGCTGGTCTTGAACTCCTGACCTCAGGTGATCCACCCGCCTTGGCCTCCCCAAGTGCTGGGATGCTTAGCACTTGGCTAAACGCTAAATTTTTTTAAAAGACAAAAGAATGTTTACTACTTTCAGAGAGGTGACTTCACATGATCTAATAACCTAGGCATGCACCATTGTATCTCTACATGCACAGACATACAGAAAATAGCCTTGGATCGAATAACTCGAGCTAACTAAACTAGAACTACACCATAAACTTCGGCTAAAATGTGAACATGTCCACAAAGACGACTTGCAGCTTGGCTGCTCTGGAAGGGAGTGGCCGTCTGGAGCCCGGTGGGGACCATCATGCCCAGACTTACGCCTTGGACGTATCATGTTCTCCGTACAGCCAGCCATCCTTCTCCTCGGGGATGAGCAGCGTGATGACGTCTCCCTGTGCAAAGCTGAGTAAGGTCTTGTTGGCGCCCGCAGTGTGCGGGAAGATGGTCTTCACTTTCTGCTTTTTCATCATGTTCAGTCCAGTTGCAACCGAAACTGATCGTTGTAAACTGGGATCTTCGGAAGTATCTGTTGGAGGGGGTGTAGTGGTAATAGCTTCTCAAAGCACGAGAATCAACAGGCATGTTCCAATGAGCAAACCCCAGACAGCCACTCGTGCCCATCTTGCCAGCAACGCTCCTTCCACGGAAACTGACCCTGTCCTATTTCCTCGCCTTGATCATTGCCCAGAAGGGACAGGGACTGCTGAGAAACGGAGGCAGCCCGCGGCCTGAAGCCACGCACAGTGCAGGAGAGGATCCCTGCAGCTGCGGGTTCTTTTTCAGACCCAAGGACAAGGCAGCGTCTGCCAGGTTTATCTGCGCTCTGCTTTGGCCAGGATGGCTCTCCTGAGAGAGGCAAACTGCTCTGCCGCCAAACCGCCCTTGCAATTGCAATCGCACAGGCGGGCTGGGGCCACAGTTCAAACGCAACTGCCAATGTCCACAAAGAAAAGAAGAAAACTGCAAATGCAGTCGGTCTTGCCATGCCGGCTGCTCAGCTTCTCACCCCCGGGCGTGGGAAGGATGAGGTGAGGATGAGTTCCATTTTTGGATTCCTCACCAGGGGACCGTCACCAATCTCAATGCCTCACAGCTGCCATCCTGCCAGGCTCCCAGGAGGAAGGTGCTGCCATCATCCACAGGACAGACCCCACAGCTGGCAGGTGCTAGGCTGGGCCAGGACGCAGCTCCAGCAGGCCCACCCCAGAGCCTCTACTCATGAGCACGAGGCTGTACTGTTCATGTGTCCATTCAAACACAAGCTGATATTTCCACTCCAGGGGAAAAAAAGGTAAAATATATACATATATGTACGCATAACATGTGAGACAGAGTCTCATTCTGTTGCCCAGGCTGGAGTATAGTGGCAGGATCACAGGTCACTGCAGCCTGAACTTCCCAGGCTTAAAGGATCCTCCCTCCTCAGCCTCCTAAGTAGCTGGGACTACAGGCACACTCTGCCATGCCAGGCTTATTTTTAATTTATTTGTAGAGACAGTGTCTCACTATGTTGCCCAGTCTGGTCCTGACCTCCTGGCCTCAAACGATCCTTCCACCTTGGCCTCCCAAAGTGCTGGGATTATAGGTGTGAGCCACTGCTTCTGGCCCACTTAAAAATATATATATATATCTGTTTTCCATTTAAGTTTTCCCAAGCTAGTAATACAGCAAGCATCTTTAATTTAAAACAATACCAGATCTCTTTCTGCTTTATTCTTGCAGATTCTTCATGGTTACAACAAACACCTTGCTGTCCCTTTAACCTGCCACTCTCTACCTTGCTGGTGTTGAACCCACCAGCAATTTTCTTTTCTTTTCTTTTTGAGACAGAGTCTCACTCTGTTGTCTAGGGGAGTGCAGTGGTGTGATCTCAGCTCATTGCAACCTCTGCCTTCTGGGTTCAAGTAATTCTCCTGTCTCAGCCTCCCGAGTACCTGGGACTACAGGTGCATGCCTCCACTTCTGGCTAATTTTTGTATTTTTAGTAGAGATGGGGTTTCACCATATTGGTCAGGCTGGTCTTGAACTCTTGACCTCAGGTGATCCACCTGCCTCAGCGTTCCAAAGTGCTGGGATTACAGGCATGAGCCACCACGCCCAGCCTCCATTTGTTTGTAAATATATTAATTCTCAACAGGGCTGGCTAAACATCAGTCAGTGTGCAGAACTGGTGAGTGTCAGAGAAATCTATCACTTATCAGTGCGTCTCACAGTCTGGACCTGTATTTGTTCTGAACTCATGCCTGCACAGCCAGGGCTGAATGTATCCACCCTACCTGCTTGTTTACCTCCAGACCTTGCAACACATTTATCCAAAATATTTATTTCACAGCTTATCTTAAAACAAATTTAAAATGTATCTTCAAAGAAATCTCTTACCTGTTGAATTATTTATCCTTTCTGATTTTGGTGTGGCCGTTGCTGGGTTATTAAACATATCGATCAAAGGACTGGTGTACGCTCGGCCTGAAGGAGCGGGGGGCATCTTTGGTGAGCATTTAGAAAGGGTGTCGTAATCTTTCCTAACCTGTGAAAAATTCTATATTAGTCTAATAGTAGTATCATGCAGAATTGGAATTACACAGATTCCCAAGGCTGTTTTTTTTAAAATCATAGGCTTTATTTTTATTTATTTATTTTGAGAGAGTCTCGTCTGTGGCCCAGGCTGGAGTGTAGCAGGTAGGGTATGATCTTGGCTCACTGCAACCTCTGTCTCCCAGATGCACATGATTCTCCTGCTTCAGCCTCCCAAGTAGCTGGATTACAGGCAGGTGCTACCACACCCAGCAATTTTCTGTATTTTTAGTAGAGATGGGGTTTTACCATGTTGGCCAGGCTGCTCTCGACCTTCTGACCTCAAGTGTTCAGCCTCCCAAAGTTACGGGGGTAGGACACATGGATAGAGGCTGGGGTCTTTATTTCTTTGATCACATTCATGATTTTCTCTGGCACTTTGATGGCATCAACGCAGATCTCCTGCCACTGAGCCTGGGCGTGGTGGCGTGCACCTGTAGTCCCACTATTTGGGAGGCTGAGGCAGGAGAATCGCTTGAACCCAGGAGGCAGTGGTTGCAGTGAGCTGAGATCACAGGTGTGAGCCACTGCACCCGGCCACATTTCAGGGTGTTTGAGATGGGCAGAAAGAGCAGCCCCGTGTGTTTAAACTACCTGCTACATCCCAGTCTCCACACAGAGCCCAGGTTCAAAGATCAGCAAACTACAAATGTACGAATTCATTACTGTGAATACTTTGATGCCTGTTTTTTTCTTGAAGTGCCTGACATTGTGATGAATGGCATCAGAGTGTGTCTAATTTATTTTGTGAGATACCTACAGTTCCTTCCTTGGGAATAAACTTACTTGAAATGATAACAATTAAAAACAGCAAGAAGCTGGGTGCGATAGCTCACACCTGTAATCCCAGCACTTTGGGAGGCTGAGGCAGGTGGATTACAAGGTCAAGAGATAGAGATCATCCTGGCCAACAGGGTGAAATCCCATCTCTACTAAAAATACAAAAAATTAGCTGGGCATGGTGGCACATGCCTGTAGTCCCAGCTACTCGGGAGGCCAAGGCAGGAGAATCACTTGAACCCAGGAGGTGGTGGTTGCAGTGAGCCAAGATGGTGCCACTGCATCCAGCCTGGTGACAGAGCAAGACTCCATCTCCAAAAAAAAATAAAATAGGCCGGGCGCGGTGGCTCAAGCCTGTAATCCCAGCACTTTGGGAGGCCGAGGCGGGTGGATCATGAGGTCAAGAGATCGAGACCATCCTGGTCAACATGGTGAAATCCCGTCTCTACTAAAAAAAAAAAAAAATACAAAAAATTAGCTGGGCCTGGTGGCACGTGCCTGTAATCCCAGCTACTCAGGAGGCTGAGGCAGGAGAATTGCCTGAACCCAGGAGGCGGAGGTTGCGGTGAGCCGAGATCGCGCCATTGCACTCTAGCCTGGGTAACATGAGTGAAACTCCGTCTCAAAAAAAAAAATAAATAAATAAAATAAAATAAAAAAAATTAGCCAGGTATGGTGGTGGGCACCTGTAATCCCAGTTACCTGGGAGGCTGAGGCAGGAGAATCGCTTGAACTCAGGAGGTGGAGGTTGCAGTGAGCTGAGATCACACCATTGCACTCCAGAGTCTCAAAAACAACAACAACAACAACAAAAAAAACCCAGTAAGAATAAAATTTCCAAAACAAAGATAATAGCACCAAACATAGTATAAAACATGTGCCCAGCTAACTTCACACCTGAAGGTAAGGCTAGAGGTGCAAAAAGATGGCCTTGGAAGTCATAAAGGAGGACTTGTGATATCTACCACCGAAGACGAATTTGGCCTGGGTGAAGTTAGGAAACACACAATTGAAATCTGGAAGAGAAAACTGACCCCTACCACATTGCTTCTCTCGATCATAGGCGAAGGCTGAGGTGTTCCGGACACGGGGGTAGAGCCTGGGGTCTTTATTTCTTCGATCATATTCATGATTTTCTCTGGCACTTTGATGGCGTCAACGCAGGTCTCCTGCCACCGAGGCAGCTTGGAATTCAGTAGTTCTGCAGACTGCAAATCCAAAAGAAGAAGACTAAAGACAAAGACAACTGTTTGAAGAGCTGAGAAAAATTCCATCTCGTCATATTGCTGATAACCTATTGCTGGCTTAGCACCAGGAGTGTGGGGGCTCTGGGTTAAACTCGGGGAGCAGTTTAAGCACCTAGGGCATCTGCTGTATCTCACTGGCTGAGAGGGGCATGAACTGTGAATCAAACGGAAATTTCCTGCTCTCTGTCTGTGAGTACAGAGCTTAGGACTAATACGGCGATGGTAAATGGTTAAGAACAAGAACAGAAACTCAAAGGAAGGCAGGGAGCAATCCGCATGAATCCCGTTTTCCAGGTGGCCCCCGAAACACTAACTAACCATCACTTTCTCCCTCCCACTCCAACTAAAAGCAGCGCTTCCAACACAGGCCACCGGCCCAGGAGCTGACTCTGACCGGCTCATGCATTAGAGAAGTGACTCAGACTCTGTCCAGAGAGTATCCAGGGGAAAGAGGGACTGTCGTCGGTGAGTGGTGGGCAGTGCTGAGGGGGACCCCATCACAGGCCCGACAAAGCTTTGCAGAGCAGACCCTGACCAGCGGAGATGAGACCCTGTAGCCCTGGAGGCCGAGCGCCCCTCCAGCATCCACAAGCCTGGCTCTGCTCCTGACAACTGGGCTCCCAGAGGGGCCCCCAGGCCCTTCCAGTGAACCCCTTTTCTGAGCAGCACTCTGGTTAGAAAAGGGAAGTCAGGGGCCTGCCCTGCAGTTGTGTACATGTCAGTCACGCTGCTTTTAATCAGCCTCGCAGTTTACAAAGAGGGGCAGGGGAGCTGATGTCAGTCCTGGGGGGGGGCAAAGCCCCCACACCATCCTTGTCCCCAAATGTCACCCTGACACACTAGGTCAATGCCGTCCCACCCCCAACTGTCACACTGACACACCAGGTCAACACCACCCGACCCCCGGCTATCACCCTGACCCTCTGCAGCAACGCGGACCAGCTGCTTGGGCCTGCCTCATCCCAGCTCCATGGAAAGGTCTGGGATGCTTTAGCTGAATTAAGGCAAGTCACAAAACCAGTTTTCAGACAGTTGAAGAAACTTCCAGTATATAAAGGAGCAGGTTTGGTCTGTGTTACTCTATAAAGCATTCCTGGGACCCATGGTTAAGTCTAAGAAAGACTCTGCTGATAACTGGAGCTCCCTGAAAACGGGCCAGGCTGCCTCATGACATGGCGGGGTGTCACACAGGAAGAGGACCTCCAGGTCACCTCTGAACCCTCCAGCCTGTGATGCCGGTGCCACAGGATGCCCTCACTCTGGGAAGAGAAGATTCTAAAGTGAACTCTGCATTCCCAAAACTAGTACAGATGCGCTGTTGACAAAAGTGATCACCTGATACAGCAATTCTTTCCTTGGCTGTAACAATTTTCTTTCTTTTTTTGAGACAGAATTTTGCTCTTGTTACCCAGGCTGGAGTGCAGTGGCACAATCTCGGCTCACTGCAACCTCCACCTCCTGGGTTCAAGCAATTCTTCTGCCTCAGCCTCCCAAGTAGCTGGGACTACAGGCGTGCGCCACCATGCCCAACTAATTATTGTAATTTTAGTAGAGACAAGGTTTCACCATGTTGACCAGGATGGTCTCGATCTCTTGACCTCGTGATCCACCCGCCTCGGCCTCCCAAAGTGCTGGGATTATAGGCGTGAGCCACCGCGCACCGCCTTAACCATTTTCTTTTTCTTTTTTGAGAGAGGATCTTGGCTCTGTCACCCAGGCTGGAGTGCACTGGCATGATCACAGCTCACTGCAGCCTCGAACTCCTGGGCTCAAGCAATCCTTCCACCTCAGCCTCCTGAGTAGCTGGGGCCATAGGTGCACACCACCTCACCTGGCTAATTAAAAAAAATTTATTTTTGTAGAGACAGGGTCTCACTATGTTGCCCTGGGCTCAAGTGATCCTCCTGCCTTGGCTACCCAAAGGGCTGAGATTACAGGCATAAGCCACTGTGCGTGGTCTGCTGTACTCATTTTAAATCTGTTTTAGTTTAGGGAACGGAACATTCCTTCATTTTTTTTTTTTTTTTTTTTTCTTTGAGGCAGTCTTACTCTGTCGCCCAGGCTGGAGTGCAGTGGTGTGATCCGGGCTTACTGTAACCTCAGCCTCTCAGGTTCAAGCAATTCTCCTGCCTTCCCTCCCAAGTGACTGGGATTACAGGCACCCACCACACGTGGCTAATTTTTGTATTTTTAATAGAGACAGGTTTCACCATGTTGGCTAGGCTGGTCTCGAACTTCTGACCTCAAGTGATTTGCCCACCTGGGTCTCCCAAAGTGCTGTGATTACAGGTGTGAGACACCATGCCCAGTCCTGAATACTCTTTAAAGTTGTAAAAAGTGTATAGAAAATACATTTGCCTACATACAAGGTATTTTTACTTTAAAACAAAGATGAAGTTGACTCATATTCAATCTCTTGCAAAGCTTCTTATATTTTGGAACACTCTAACTTTACTATCAACAACAATGAACATTTGGCCTCAACCACTGCTAGTTTTGGATGTTTACGAAGGCCCAAAAGAGTTCGTAACTTAAAACAACACATTATGGCATATGTTGCATAATGATTCCTGGGGGTTCTAAGCCCGCAGCTGCATGTGCTGGAAGGAGGGTGATGAGGTCATACAGTTGAAGAAACCAGGAACAAACACCATCAAGAGGAATGAATGTATCACTGAACCCAGCTGTACTGACGTGCGTGAATGGGGCCCGTGGGCTGGGACAGAACTGCCCGTGACCCCGATACACAGACCCATGAAGGGAGCATCTCAAATTGCCCAGGTGGGGTAGACCTGGGCCCGCTGGGACTCACCGGCAGCTATGGTGAAGACACTGATGTTGAGGACACATCAGAGAGAGCCTGGGAAAAGCTGACTCGCAGGTGAGAAGAGAAAACGTGTGCTATTCTCAGTGATGAAGCATTATTTTATGAAGGACTTTAAATATGGATGTATTTTTTGTTGATTTTTTTGGGGGCAGGGGGACAGAGTCTCACTCTGTTGCCCAGGCTGGAGTGCAGTGGCATGATCTCAGCTTACTGCAGCCTCCACCTCCCAGGTTCAAGCAAATCTCCTGCCTCAGCCTCCCGAATAGCTGGGACTATAGGCGTGTGTCACCAGGCCTGGCTAATTTTTATATTTTTAGTAGCAATGGGGTTTCACCATGTTGGCCAGGACGGTCTTGATCTCCTGACTTCATGCTCCATCGGCCTCAGCATCCCAAAGTGCTGGGATTACAGGTGTGAGCCACTGTGCCTGGCCTATTAGAATCTTTTCACTGGGAAAATGGCCCCCTGCTTTATACTGGGGACCTGTGGAAGGTGAGGGGTGTGCCTGTATGTACATTCCTGCATGTATGGACTGACTGAGACAGGGTCCTGCTCTGTTGCTCAGGTTGGAGTGCAGTGGCACAATCATAGCTGACTGCAGCCTCAACTTCCCAGGCTCAAGGGATCCTCCCACCTCAGCCTCCTGAGCAGCTAGGACTACAGGCACATGTTAACATGCCTGGCTAGTTTTTAAAATTCTTTATAGATAGAGTTTTGTCATGTTGCCCAGGCTGGTCCTGAACTCCTGATCTCAGGTGATTCGTCTGCCTCAGCCTCCCAAAGTGTTGGGATTACAGGCATGAACCATGGCCCAGCCTTCTGGGGCATTTAAATATGAAATAAAGTTATTAATACACTCAATGCAATTTGCCACCACACCCACCTGTAAGTGATAATAATGTATGTGGTTTGCGAAGCTGCAGTGCTTGTCAACCAGAAAGCAGAAGCGCCTCTTCTCTTCAAGCAGAGCTTCTTTGCAACCATCTGCAATAAATTTCTGGATTTCACTCTGACGAGAAGTAACGGTCTCCACGTACTAAAATAATAAATAATAATTACGTAAGTATGACACGAGCATCAGATAGCACGCAGCCTGACGTTTACCTTCTGCCATCTTCATGCCTGCTTTATTTGAATAACAGAGTAAACACAGGAGAGGAAAGTACGTTGTAACCTGACCTAGGTAGATACCATTGTTCTCCTTGAGGTCCCTGACTCATGTGCAAAGAGAAGTTGCTGAACAGCGTGATATTCCCAGGGGTGATTTGCACAAATATTACTTTGTATTCCAGAGATATGATTGTGTCCTACGGGGAAGCATCATGGGCTTTGGAACCAGAAAGTTCCAGGTTCAAACCCAGTTTCAAATGCCAGCAATATGTGATATGGTTTGGCTGTGTCCCCACCCAAATCTCATCTTGAATTGCAGCTTCCATAATTCTTACGTGTTTCGGGAGGGACCTGGTCTTTCCCGTGCTAGGCTTGTGATAGTGAATGAGTCTCACAAGATCTCATGGTTTTATAAGCGGGAGTTTCCCTGCACACGCTCTCTCTTTGCCTGCTGCCATCCACATATGAGGTGACTCGCTCCTCATTGCCTTCTGCCATGATTGTGAGGCCTCCCCAGCCATGTGGAGCTGTGAGTCCATTAAACTTCTTTCTTTTGTAAACTGCCCAGTCTCAGGTATGTCTTTATCAGCAGCGTGAAAATGGAATAATAAAATATGATATAACCTAAGCCTCATTTTCCCCATCTGCACAATGAGAATAGTAACACCAATCATGGAGAGTCCCTTCTCCTTTCAGAGCCAGGAGAAAAAGCCCATGTTTTGGCAGGAGGCTGCTAACTGATTATTCTTAACTCTGGAAAACTCCACATCCTTCAGCTCTCAGTCAAAATGCTTATTTTTAAAAGCTGATACATGATATTTATATATATTTATGGGGCACATGTAATAATGATCAAGGCAGGGTCCTTGGGTGTCCATCACCTCAAATTATTATTTCTGTGTGTTGGGTACATTCCAAGATCTCTCTTCTAATTATTTCGAAATAGACAATGCATTGCTGTTAACTACAGTCACCCTACTCTGCTCCTGGACACTAGAATTTATTCCTTTCATCAATCTGTATGTTTGTACCCATTAGCCAACTACTCCTTCATCCACCCCCTCCCCCGGCATCGACACACTCACCATCCTCAGCTTTCTAGAGCATTCTACTTCCCACCTCTATGAGATCAACTTCAAAAAATTTTTTTTGAGATGGAGTCTTGCTCTGTCACCAAGGCTGGAGTGCAGTGGCACAATCTTCGCTCACTGCAACCTCTGCCTCCTAGGTTCAAGCAATTCTCCTGCCTCAGCCTCCTAAGTAGCTGGGACTACAGGCACCTGCCACCACCTCAGCTAATTTTTGTATTTTTAGTAGAGATGGCGTTTCATCATGTTGGCCAGGCTGGTCTTGAACTCCTGACCTCAAATGATTTACTCACCTTGGCCTCCCAAAGTGCTGGGATTAAAGGGGTGAGTCACCACACCCAGCCAACCTCCTCTTAAACTGTAGAAATTATCAACAACAAAAGAAAACAAGATATTGCTAAAAAGCTCACCTCAATTTCTTTGTGTTCATATTTGAGTGCGTTTCGTCCTCCTTGGCCTTTCCTTCTGATCTTCTTCAACTCAGCTTGGGATTTCTCCAAAGACTCCAATTTATTCTTGTGTTCTGTTTGGTATCTTTTTAGAGTTGCCTGTAAGTTAAATGCTGTGCTTATTTTACTGTGGTGCCACACAAATTGTCACGCAGTTGCTTCTGCTTACACTTCCACTGTGTGTGGCTGTTGAGGGCCTGATACTCTCACTTCACGCCATCCTCATGCTGGCTGGGGCCCCCACACTCATACCAGTTCACACCATCCTTCTGCTGGCTGAGGCCCCCACACCCATGCCAGTTTCACATCATCCTTCCTCTGGCTGAGGCCCCCACACCCACACCAGTTTCACACTATCCTCCCACTGGCTGGGGCCCCCACACCCAAGCCAGTTCACACCATCCTCCTGCTGCCCGGGGTCCCCACACCCACACTTTACACCATCCTCATGCTGGCCTCACCCTCAGTTCACATCATCTGCATGCTGGCTGCAACCCTCACCCTGCAGTTCACACTATCCTCACACTGGCTGGGACCCTCACCCTGCAGTTCACACTATCTGCATGCTGGCTGGGACCCTTGCCTGACAGTTCATACCATCCTCACAATGGCCAGGGCCCTCACTCATTTCACACCATCCTTATGCTGGCTGGGACCGTCACCCTGCAGTTCATACCATCGTCATACTGCCCAGGGCCCTCATTCTTCATTTCACAGCACCTTATGCTGGCTGGGACCCTCACCCTGCAGTTCACACCATCTGCATGGTGGCTGGGATCCTCACCCTGGGCCAGTTCACACTGGCCAATGCCCTCACTCACTTCACCATCCTTATGCTGGCTGGAACCCTCACCCTGCAGTTCACACCATCTGTATGTTGGCTGGGACCCTCACCCCACAGTTCATACCATCCTCACAATGGCTGGGGCCCTCACTCATTTTACACCATCCTTATGCTGGCTGGGTCCCTTAGCCCCCACAGCTCACACCATCTGCATGTTGGCTGGGACCCTCACACTGGCTAGGGCCCTCACCCCTCAGTTCACATGGCCCCCTCCATTCAATGTTAATGTCTTGCATTTGTTCTAAAGGTCCCTGTTTGAACGAGGAGCCCCTGACCAGGATGGCTGTTCTCTGAGGACATCTTCTCTTTCTTTTATTCCTTCTTTCCTCAAAGGCTTTTTGACGGGGGGTGGTTAACTTTCTTCTGCCACCCAAAGTCTCAAAGTCCCACCCAAAGCACTTAGCCACCAAACTGGTTAAGCACTTTGGCGAAGAAATAGACAACATTAGGTCACATGTTCCTGGCTGTTTTATGATTTACGATTTCAAGAAACAGAATGAACAGGTGCAATAGCTTAGGGTTGTTTTGGGTGCTGTGTTGCAGAGTATTTAAGAATGCAGGGTCTCTTTTTTTTTTGAGACTGACTCTCACTCTGTCACTCAGGCTGGAGTGCAGTGACGCGATCTAGGCTCTCTGCAACCTCCATTTCCCAGGTTCAAGTGATTCTCCTGCCTCAGCCTCTCTAGTAGCTGGGATTACAGGGGGGGGAGGCACCACATCCAGAGAACTCAGGGTCTTAAGTCTAACAGACCCACATCAGAATTCAAATCCCTATTTTCCCTATAATCTGTGAAGTGCGGTTAAGAAGGGTGTCTGGCCAGGTGCAGTGCCTCATGCCTGTAATCCCAGCACTTTGGGAGGCCAAGGCAGGTGGATCATGAGGTCAGGAGTTTGAGACTAGCCTGGCCAAGATGGTGAAACCCTGTCTCTACTAAAAGTACAAAAATTAGC